AAGCGCCAGAACCCACACCCATGACCCATCAAAGCCAAAAAAAAAAAAAGAAAATGGCGGCATTTAAAGGGTTATTGTACGAAAAAAATTAATTGCAGCCTTTGAATGGGAACAATTTCTGAGCTTTACTATGAAGATGTCATATTTACAACATGCAATAATGAAATATAAAAAATATAAAGAACGAGATTCATAACTGCCCCCCATAATGTGTATTTTAATGCCATTTTAATACTGTCCCCTATAATGTGTATTTAATGCCATTTCCGTACATTATGGTTGCCAAATGGTTTTTAAAAAACAACCCAACAAACAGCTCAGTGGTATAAATGATCTGAAAAGCCCGAAATAAAACCAAGAAACGCATTTAATAAATAACTGGCCTAAAGCCCAACTCCGGGCACAATGAACTCACCGCTATGCTTCAAGAGCGACCTCCTGTCATGCCGGCTTTATTCTGCAGCAGCCAAATCTGCTCCTTTCCCATTAGTAGAGCTCCTCTGTATTTTGGGGGCCGCTTGGATGTAAGCGATGCAGGTGTTATATACCCCAGGGCTGAGGTTGTGTCCGCACCCCTCTCTTCCCCAGCCATTCACAAAATAAAGCCGGGGGCTGTGCATCTTTGAATGGCTGGGGAGGACTTGACTGCAGTGCTGAGGTCTATGACACCTGCAGCGCTTACATCCGAGCATCCCCGATGTACAGAAGGAGTTCTATCTGCGCTCGGATGTGAGCGCTGCAGGTATTATATACGCCAGCGCTGAGGTCGTGTCCACACCCCTCTCTTCTCCCCAGCCATTCACAAAATAAAGCCGGGGGGCTGTGCATCTTTGAATGGCCTGGGGGGGATCGGAGACTTGACTGCAGTGCTGAGGTCTATGACACCTGCAGCGCTTACATTCAAGCATCCCCGATGTACAGCAGGAGTTCTATCCGTGCTCGGAGTTTTAAAACCTCCTAAAAAAAAACAATGTTTCCGGCCTTGACAATGACCCAAATCTATATTCAGAAAGTCGAGGATCAAGATAAACGACATTTCTGTTGGGGTGAAGAGTGTAAGGACACCAGAACGGTCATGCACTGCAGCCATTTATTATCCAAAGAGAAAATATGAAGGCTTACCTCGCTGTCTTGAGTGATTTGCACTTGCTCTCCCTGTGGCACCTGTGCAATGTGTAGGTGTCCCTGTAAGAGATAGAAAGAAAATGACAGGTGAGAATAAGGTTCCTCCTGTCCCCTATGCGCTCACACTCCTCTCCACATTCCCACAGCTGTTATAGATGCTCCCCGATCACTTATTGCAGGAAAATTGATCCCTATTGGGCAATGGATGGGCCCATTAGCAGCAAGCATTGAAGTGAACCTGTGGCCAGAATATGGACTTTCAAGTATTTACATGGTTTGTTTTGAATCAGCGGATGAGCTTCAAAACAAGCCCTCAGTGACCTTTGTAGCTGTGTGCGCTGTGGACCAATTCAACCTCAGAGTTCACAGTAAAGACAATCTTATGAAATTGTAGCTCTTAGCAGATTTGCCGGACTCTATTTTCTTTAGTAGCAGTGTCTTGGCAGCCTTCTTATATAAACAAAGAGCAGGAGTTCAATTTATAAGGCTGGAAGGCTTATCATAGACCAGAGTGCCCCTGTAATGAAATTTGAGAATGAATTGCTCCACAGTGCTGGTAGTTACAGAGATCAGTGAGTTTGTTTTAAAGCTCATTTCTTGCTATTATTGAAATACACTGAGCGGCCAGATTATTATGACCACCACATCAGTACTTCGTTGGGCCGCCTCGTGACTCCACGAGATGATGAAAGGTGATGCGAGGAATCTGACACGGCACTGTTTGATCATCCCAGGCTTGGCCACAGGTTCACACTACCGCACATACCAGCTTATGTATTATCACAGTGTTCAGTTATATACTCCTAAACATTGGTGGAAGCATTTTACAGAGAACACAGAACCAGTCATGTTGCTTCCTAATAAAAGTTTACAATCCAATGTCCTCACACACAGAAGGATCAAAGTGATGGAAGATGCTTTTGGATTGTGGGAGGAACCCCGTGCAAAGCTCCTGGTGGGGAAACTGACTAGAACTACCGCTATGCACCGCGCTGGATTCACAACCAACAGGGGGGAAAAAAACAAATCTCATTTTCTCACTGGACTTTTCCTGGGAAGAATAAAACTTCTGTACGGAGAGCAGATTAAAGATGCACAATTTGGAATTCAGTCAAAAAGTCTTGTGTTTTTTTTGTCTTTCTTTTGCAGCAAGAACAATTGCCTGCAACTTTCAAAGAAACACAGCTCCCTCTATATCCAACAGCTTCATTTCCTTTGGAAGGAAGTTATATCCTATTCATAAGAGGCAAAACAAAACAGATTGAACTTATCAAACTGACAATAGGAACTCCGAGGAAAACTTCCAGCCCAAACTCCATTCAGACTTGATAAGAGACACTGTGCCTTCCACTGCTGGCAGCCCGGGGGAGCCTGGCACGATTTAACCCCAACAGTACCGCATTCAATTCTTTGACATAGCTGAGTTATTTAAAGAGTGGGTCTGCACGAGTACAGTACATCTCTGCAACAGATGCACAGTGCCCGTGTTTTACTATTTAAAAAGTGTTGCAAGTACAGAAAAACAATTCATGTTGATCCTGACAAATCCAGTAAGCTCATAACTTCCTGTTTAGGTTGACAACATTGTCTTGCTGCTCTGATATCCCAATCACTTTTGTCAGCCCTGTGTCACTTTGACGACATAATTTCACTCCCTTTGCCGCTCCCTACATGCAGATTTTGTTTTCCCAGCAAAATAATTCTGCTGCCTTTAACCACAAGAACCTGCCCACACACTGTGCGTTAGTTAGTCCTGACCCCTGCACTCTGTGTTACTTACTCCTGACTCCTGCACAGTGAATTACCTACTACTGACCCTTACCACAGTGCATTACTTACTATTGACCTCTGCGTTACTCCTGACGTCTGCATCAAATAGTACTGACCCCTGCACAGTGTGTTACATACTATTGACCCCTGCACAGTGTGTTACATACTATTGACCCCTGCACAGTGTGTTACATACTATTGACCGATGCACAGTGTGTTACATACTACTGACCCCTACACAGTGCATTTCATACTACTGACTCATGCACAGCACATTGCATACTACTGACCCCCTGAACACTTCAAACCTTCTTTACTTCTGAATGTGGTCTTGCTAGGTTATGTGCTGCACCCTGGTGATCTTTGATCTCTTTCATGTTGTTCAGGTAGATCTCTGCCTCTACAGGTTTGCCTACCCCTGCTCTAGGGAGGGAGAGGGAGATTTCTGGGTAAATTTGTGTCATGCCTATACAAACTCTTTAAATGTAATCACAACACCTCCTGTTGAGCACAGCAGCAGACACTATAGTTTTGTACATTAAAGGCTGCCGGTTTATGTGTCAAAGCACAAAGACTCGGCCTGTCTGAGAGGCTCTAATCTCATAAATAACTGCGAGACTCTGTGATCACCGTACAACACTTAAATCACCGTGTCTCCAATCCAAGCCGTAGCTATCAAGTGTGAATTTATGTGTCACCTCTCAGACTATGATTGGCTGAAACCAGAGAGAAATATTTCTGCAAGTTAATCTGACATTCTCTGGGAAAACTCCATCGGCAGAGGAAATGAACTTCCCTTTATTGGACATGCAACCCCCAGAATTTACTACCTTTCAATCTTCACGGCTTGTGCTTGGTCTCGGCTGTTCTTTATTTATCTGCCGAGGAATGTCCTAAGTTGAGGCACTGCAGCCATATGCCAGTGTTATCACAGTGTTCCTTCATCTAGTGATTTAAGGTGCAGCAGTTTTACTAGGCATGGAACGTTCCACATCCATATGACCTGAGCTTCAGAGTCATGTGTTA